AAATATCCATGTCAGATACTGTGCTAAACAATGGAGATATAAAAGAATGAGACACCTCTAAAGTCCGGTAGCAAGGGTTGGGGGCACAGCCATATAAACAAGCCATTGCAACACAGTGTAATGCTTGCAATAATGGAAAAACAGAGGAAAGAGTGACTAATTCTGCTGGGTGTCTGGATGGCTTCCAGGGAAGATGATACTTGAGTTGGATCTTGAAAAATAATTAGGAGTTTACCAAATAATGCAGATGAAGAAAGGCATTAGAGGCAGAGGCAGAAGTAGAGGCAGCGGGATGAACAGGTGCACAGCTGTTAAAGGGCATGGCCTACTTAGGGAGCAGTCACGGGCTCTGCAGAACCAGAGCTCTGCCTCCCTTCTGGGACACAGAAACTCCTGGACCTGGGCAGCAGGATGTCAGGAGCTGTCGAAAACCACAAGGTGAGCATGTCACAGCTGCCTGGGGCTCCTTTGAGTTTATTCAATTTTATGTCAATTTAGTTAATAATGATTTTAGACATTTCCCCCAGTTTTACTGAGATAGAATTGAATAAGCATTTTAGATGTATTTAAAAAATGAAAACAAACATGAACACATTGTGGAGCAGAATGCAAAAACCTCATGAATTCTTTGTATGAAAAAAATATATCTCTGCTGCCAAAATCTATTTCAAGCTATAACCCCTCTTACTATCAGCCTATTACCAACCCCCAACCCCTATGGTTTCACGTCTCTTGGCTCTTAAGGGGCTCAGTTGAGACACACTATGCTAAAATGTTGGTTGAGTTGGGGAGAGAGGCAGGAAGTGAGGTTAGAAATATAACTCATTATCTTCCAGATATCTTTAAGGCATCTTTCAGAACCCTGTTTGTACAGGGTTTCACATGCCAGATTTAGAATATGTAAGCAGGATGCTATCAAGATTGAAGCTCTGTTTCAGAACATTCTGTGACACCTTAGCAAATAAATTAGAGAGGAAGAGAGAGAACAAATCAAGAGAACATTATCATCACCTGAAATAAGTCAGAGGCAGTGAAGATGGCTAAGAAGAGATGGATTATTTGAGAGATAATTTAGAAAAGGAAAATGACAGGATTTAGTGACATGTTGACTGTAGGTGGGAGGAGTCAGGGATGACAGATTTCTAGCTTTGCAAACTAATAGACAGTAGATACTGTTAGCTAAAGGAGAAAATAAAGAAGTAAAAAAATTTCCGAATGATACCTGAAAGAGGTGTGAAAAATAATAAGTTGACTTTCACTTCTGCTACGTTGGTGATGTCTCTGGTACAGTAATTACTCATTCAATATCTTTATTCATTTATTCACTCAGTATCTTTATTTGGCACCTATTAAACGCCATGAACTAAGCTCAACATGTTTGGAAATATCCAAGAGGTAGTGGAAATTCAGGTCTGGAATTTATGAGATGTAATAGGCTGAGTATAGAAATGGAAGTCACTGATGTGTTTGGAGAGAGAATTAAATCTAAGGGGGTATAGATGTGATGCCATGAGGAGAGAGCAAAGAGTAAGAAAAAAAAAAGTTTCTGGACTGAGCCCAGGGGAAGACAAACCTTTCAGGATCAGGGAGTGGAAGAGCCTGCGATAAAAGTTTCCACAACGTCACAATGATGAGTAGTCCTCCTAGTTCTATTTTTTAATGATTTCTTTAGTAAAATTTATTTGCATTTTGCAAACACAAGTTATTCAGATATTTGAAAGACTGTACCTGACCTTCCTACACACCATGTGATGTCATCATACTTAGGATCATTTAATTTCAGATACATTAAGAATCTGTAAGCTTATTGCCAAATATTTTCATTTAAATTGGGTGCAAAGAATTGATTTAGACCAATTCCAGCGGTCAGTTGAATTACTTTATTAAATTCTGCCAGCTTACCAATTAGGCGGTTTTAATTGTTTTTTAAAGGAGGGGAGAGCCGGTAACAGTGTTCAGAGAGATGAGCTGGACTGTATGAACCCCACAGGACCCATAATCATAAAGTGAATCTTGCTGTTGCTGAAGGATTTAATCTTCTTCCTCTGAGACTCATACTTTCATTTTGAATCAAGCTCTATACAAAAGTTATTTTGGCAAGAAGAAAATGTAACACGGTAGAAGTTCTGGGCCACCACGATCGAGCCAAATTTTCTCTACTTTACACGGGAATCTAGGGCAGATTCCTGGGAGGGCCTCAGGTCGCAGGTGGGGTGGGCAGAGCAGCAGCCCTAAGGGATTCC